AAGAGAGAGAAAGAATAAATACCGGTAGATTCCTGGGATTTTAATTAGTAAAGTTCTTGTCAATCAAAATTCTGTCCAAGGAGAGGCGTTTGTCTGAAGGATTCGAAAATTACCAAAAGCTTGAAAAACGAGGAAATTTCATAAATCTCATATACGTCCTTTATGTTATGATTTAATTGCTTGTAGGTGCTTGTATTTGCAGAAATTAGTATACGTCATTTATGATATGACTTAATTGCTTGTAGAAACATGTATTTGCAGGAATTTATTTGTTGAGTCGTAGATTAATTTTCTTGATATGGCATGCTTGTGTCTAGTTTGTTTATCTGAACACGCGCAACGTTATTTCCTTTTACATGTGCGTTGTCGATTTGCTAAGTTATAGTCTTGATTATTGTAGGAGTTGAGTATGTTGAATTCATTCTTATCCTATATACGGAATATGTATCCGACATAACTGCGTTGAGTTCATTTAGTTGATAATATTGTATTTATATAAATGGATGAAATGATGATTGAGGTTTCGGAAGTAGTTATAATTATCCGAACGAATTTATTATGTATATTGGTAACCTTAGCAGGGCAAGGAATTTCATTCGTTTGCGTGTTATGCAAATTGACCTTACCTTAATGAGACCGAATGAAGGGCTAATGCTGCCTGTGGCGTAAATAGCCATTCACCTATCGTTAGTCTGGGAACTAGCCATATAGTCTGCTTGAAATCGTTAGAGTTAATCTCTGACATCGAAGGGCCAGTCTGACGGAAGATTTAGGTTGCTTGTTTATATTTTTATAATGTGAGAGAGTCTGGAACGATGTTACCACCCAAACAGTGTTGGAAGGAAAAGGAGCAGTTTATGACCAAAGGACATGCACCTAGAAGTTTCGGAACGAGAGAAAAGTGGAACGGAAGACGTACTCTTACTTAGGAACAGAAAGTACAGTCTAAAACGACCTGTGAAACAGAATCAGTCAACAGGCTATGCATTGATGCAAGACAGGGTTATTCGATATACTTGGACTCGTAAATGATGATTTTGATTATATCTTAAACAGAATCGGATAATCTTATAATGTTATTTGTAATTTTGAAATTCCTTAATTAATTAATACGTAAAGAAGAAATGTGTCTTTTAAACTGTAACTTTATATTATTTACTTGTGGAAATTTTATTGTTTGAAATTTTATTAAATTTTGTCTTTACTTGTAACGGGGGCTCGACTTATTTCTTCTATATATTAGCTCAGATTAAATTTTAAATCTATCCATAAATTCCTACTTTATAGTAACTTTACTCGATACCGGGCAAATTACATTGTTGGAAGTAACTCCTAGATGCAAAGCCAAGACCAGTAAATCCGCCACAAATAAGTTGAGGATGAGTTTCTAAATAAAATCCAGTAGTTCTGATTATACAGTTGAGATTTCGTTATATTCGTGTCGTTCTATACACATTAATTTCATAAAGTTGTGTATCTAAGCAAACAATGTACGAACCAATATAGTGCGTTTCAAACAAAAACTGTGAATAATTTTAATGGATTCTAATAGTATAATTATGTTGTTGTTGTTAAATTAAATGTAAGCCGATAAGATTTTTTTTAACCACCATTTCCACTTTTCAAAATCTCTAAGAATTAGATCTGAAAGTCTTCTTTTGCAGGTATAGAATCAGTCTTATGTATGTTTCCAAAAACACAACAGTTCTTTTCAATGGCCGTCATTTGCTTGCCAATTTTGTGATATGGTTGCATCAGATATGTGACTTATTCGTCGTAAATCGCAGAAAAACAATATTATCAGAATTAATGTTTATAATCGAATAAATGTCTGTGTGCATGTAATTTCTACGATAAGGACAATTGTAAATTAAATACTAAAGACGTGTTATTGGGGAAGGGGATAAACCAGCAGCGATAAAAAAAAGGTTACAGATTTTTACGATTAGCTGGTGATGCTCATTCATATGTATAGGGACTGCCAGCATGTCTGGTTACATGTCCGGAATTTCTCAGCAATCTGTATTACTCTTTTATTGGTACGTGAAATTTTCAATATTGAGAGGAATTGTGTTTTGATACTACATTTGTCGTTCAGCATCAGTGTTTCTTCTGGATTATTTCAGATCTCTTAATACGTGTTATGTGATAAACTGCAGCAAATTTTGAAAAATTCTGTAATAGAAAAAAATGCGTAACTTCGTGGACACCATTACGGTTTGAAAGGGATGCAACTGATTTTAAAAGTATCGTTAAATGAGTATTCAAATATATTTTCCACCTCCACCCACCATTTTTTTAGTCAACGGTTGTACGACTTATAAATTCATCTCTACCACACTGACCCTATCAATAAAAATATCATCTTTATAAGTAGGTTGCCTTCTCTAGGGTTTAAAGTGATACACAGATAGATATCACTTTATGGCCCCCATATTCTCAAAAAAAATTTAAGTATAAAATTTAAACTTTCGCTCGGTTCGCCAAATCTTGTAATATGCAACTTTAATTTCAATTTTGTTAAATTGAAGCAATTTCGCGATTTCCTCCTTTAATATTTTTTTTATTTCTGCCTGCCTATTTTCGACAACTTGGAAGCACTTTACGCATCGCGATGTATTTTGTGACATAATATGACACTTGACATGCTTACAAGTTTATAGAATAGATAGATCATTAGGAAAACAACTTTATGGAGGACATCTTTATTTCTCACAAATGCATACACCATTGAGAAGCTTCAGGAAGAGCCATATCATTGTGCTTCTAGAAAGCCATGGGCAGGCATCACTTGCTACAATATATTCAGACTTACCAGCGACATCTGGTTGCACAGAATGCGCAGACAGCTGGATCATCAGCGGAAAAGTTCCTAAGATCAAATGAGAAGCCTTACCATTTAGTGACTGTATCATTGATGCAGATGTGAAGTAAAAGCACCAGATGAGCCAATGTATGATGTTAAAAAAGGCTTCATCCCAGTCTTTGGATATTTTGGGAGTAGCCATGGATGCCTGCATTGAAGAACCCATCCATAGACTCGGGTGATGACCATTCGAAGGAGATGCATGAAAGACACCACAAGCAGGAGCTACTTGCCTGGAAGCTGCTGTTTAGGGAACTCCGACAACAGCGGATTATGAAACAAAAAGAAGGACATGCGTATATGGAAAGATGAAATAAATCTGGCTGCCGGGTACAAGGAACGGAGCGGCAATTAAGTGTCCATGCAAATCTACCGGATCAACCCAAGGTGTTCCGTCCAAATACGAGAAGGATGTTTTTGAAGACAGAGGGGATAACCAATTAAGGGCGGAGATGTCCAATAGTTTTCCACTTCCAAAACGCCCTGGTTACTATAGAAAAGGGGCTGCTCCAGATCCTTTGAGGTAAATGTGAGAGGGAGACCAAGTCATCCAAACCTTTCGTCCACCAATGGTGTAGATTTGCAGAACAGACAAAGAAGGACTTCGGAGAAGTCTAGGACCTAGTCCAAGACTTGTGGGACAGATGGGATGGGAGTAGGGAAATATACATAAACGTAAAGAGTAGGGGAATGTTAAGGGTAAACATAGAGAGGGTAAAATAAATATATAGAGTAGAATATAGAAAATAAGCATAGTATAATAAACGTAGCTGTCAACATTAAGTAAATTCATATTATTGGGGACCATAATGCAGAGAATGGTTAAAGTAACTGAAGGTTACATAAGTATGACAAATGAACAAATATATCAAACATATTCATAGGTGGTATATAACGGTGTAGTTCATGAGGTAGTACATATAATATAGTGCAGGTATGTGTGTGAATATATATATATATATATATATATATATATATATATATATATATATATATATATATATATATATATATATATATATATATATATATATATATTGTGTGTGTGTGTAACGTGGCTCTAAGAATTATTCAGTCGTATCACTATGATGTTTGCTGTGTGGCAGTTTATAGTGATGTCTAGTACTAGGGCATCATGCTGCAGACACACAGCATCATATCCCACCTAGTCACATTATCCTGACACCAGGCCGACCATTCGTAATATTAACCTCTTAATGCTGAGCGCCAAGCGACGCAGCTGCTGGTGTCACTTTTATACGTCTTTAAAATAAGTTATGGGTAGGTTTGGCAAAAATGCTGCATAATATTTGCTAACCGTACGATAGGCGATATGCAGAATAGCTCATATCACTTTCGAATACGTTACGTTGTTGGATAGAGTCATTTATTTAATTAATCGACGGACTTTTTACTGTAACTAATTACTGATAGAGTTACAGCCCCGCCTCCAAATCACATCCACAACCTTCACCACCCCTCCCCAAAATAAAGTCTTAAGGTTTGAGCCTTTAAAGACGTTCACAACTTTAGATAATTGCAAATTGTAAATAGAGCTCCTTCTTTCCTTCTTTCTATTTTTCTTTTTTTTTCTTTTATTCTGCAAAGTAAATATTTTTAAACTCAGATCTTCACACTTCAAAATCTACCGCCTCATAAATTTTGCCAACTAAGACTTTTGCCTTGTCTGCCTAATGTGAAATACATTACTAGGCGAAATGCTAATCAGCATGTATGTCATTTAATGATAGGCTAAGTCGCTGCACAGCGGCTCTTCCGTTGAGCAATTAAAATTTTACTTGGAAATAATTCATCGCCAGGTGAAATATTCCAAGAAAGATAAAATGCATGTCATCAAAATGATTGCTTGATTGTAAAGTTGTGTCTTTTGTTGATTTATAATACTTAGTTTCTGCCAAAAGAATTATGTTCCTGTAATATTAAAAATAACCTTTATGTCTGTAACTCTATGAAATTTGGAGCTTCTGTGTATAACCGTAAAGAGAAAGAGTTACAAAAATGTTCATGGTGTCAAGACTATTTGTTCGTAATTGCTGTGGTGTGAAAGGATCCTTGGCCTGAGAGACATTGGTCATCTCGTTTAATTCATAAGTTATTTGTTTCATTTTTGACCGATCTGGTGGCCTAGTGGTTAAAGATTCCGCCTCTGATGCGGGAGGTAGAGGATTCGAACCCCATCCGAGTCATACCAAAGACTTCTTTTAAAAAATGATACTAACAGCTGCCTCGCTAGGCGATCAACATAAAGAGGTTCGTATTGGAACTGGTTAGCCTGGTGTGAGGATATTGTGACTGGATGGGACATGATGCTAAATGGGTCATCTCGTTTAATTCATCAATTGTTTGTTTCATTTCTGACCGTTCTGGTGGCCTAGTGGTTAGAGAGTCCGCCTCAGATGCGGGAGGTAGGGGTATCGAAACCAAGCCGAGTCATACCAAAGACTTCTTTAAACATCACTGTAAACTGCCACACTGCAGACATCGTAGCGATATTATTGAAAAAGTGTTCAAGTTACATTTAAAATCCATATCTCACACTGTTTCATTTCTGAACGAATCCCACCAGCAGTAACATCGAGTCGCAGAATAATGATATCAATAGTGAGTCCGGCCGCAAAATCAAATTTTTTGTCAGACTTCAGTTTAAATAATAATTTAGAACTTATGTCACTTTTATTATTACTAGTCTGCTACTGTGTATAACTTGTTATTTTATTTTAATATATAAAATAGTATGAATTGAATGGGAGCTATTTCGAATCTCATTACGACTCATTGCATCATCCGTACTTTCACACTGCGATTTCTTGTCCTTTTGTTCAGTTTTACTTATTCATAGGTAGAAATGTACAAATTAGATTAAGAGTAAATACGCACACAATGGACATTGAAAAGACAACTTAGTTCTGTCTAAATTGTGTCTTCAAATGCATTTTTCCTTGCAGTTTAAATAGTTGACATGGTACCGCCATAGCTAATCCTGGAACGGAAAAGCCTTGATTGGCTAGCTAAGATTGTGACGTGAACAGGAGTCTTTCATAATGAGTGCAAGCAGCTCAAAGTCATACAGCTTTAGAAGCGGCAAAGTATGAACATCTAAGTAGAAAAGAATATTGGTCATATATTCAAAATCAAATTGAAATTGTGCATTATATTTAGCATAACCAATATTAACTTTAACACTAGAAAAATTACACAAATAATTCATTTAAGTTTTTAGTAATTAGAAGTGAATTTTTTACGCAATTGTCATTAAATTGAAAATACTGTGGAGCAATTTTTATGAAGCCGCTATCTCCCACCACAATTCTTAGGTAAAGGAGCAACAAAAATAGCATGGTCAGATTACGCTGTTATATAAGAATGAGTTTACTCAATATAGTAGATAAGGCATGCATTGCGCATGCCTAAAATTTAGCTTGAATGATCCCATGGAATAGGTCTATGCCAAGTGCTGGAGCCTATGGATCACAGACGGAAGGTGAAATCTTAGACAGATTAGCGCAGAGACGATTAGACCATTCAGACATGCTTAATTTTCTTTTTCCTTCCATTTTCCTACATTAGCTCCTCAATGCATCATATCAAGTTTTATTATATGATAATATCTTGTTACTATAAGAAAGAGAATAATAAAAAAATCAAAATAAAATTCCATTTTCCCATAAAGTTTGTATAGTATATGCAGACACATCTGTATTAATAGAAGCCATTTGTTGCTGGACTACAAACAGCTAGAAGATTTATTACGCAGTTTTTTGTGGGGAGAGGGTGTTTGCTTGTTTTAGGGGGGAATTTTGGGGTTGTTTTCTGCCAATAATTCTGCATGTATAAATATGCTAATAACTTGGGGATGGGGTTAAAGGTTATAACGATTTAAGGTATTTTTAAGATCATTGTATAGGCCCTACTCAGCTGTGATATTCGAGCGTTGTTTGAGCTAAATGTTTGCAATAAACTATTGTTGGTATCATGCTTAGTTAACCTTACTAAAATTGTACAAATACATTTTATGCTCATTTCAGATAATGAAGAAGGGACCAACCAGTTAAGAGGAATGGATCTGACATGTCAAATCTTCCCTAAATAATAGTGTTGTTGTGTTTAATATATCGATGACTGTTTTAACTGTTTGGAGCTATGTCATGGAACATAGACTGCACATTTCTCCACCGGGAGAAAAGTTCAAACAGCGTTTACCATAAGTCTTTCCACATAAAACCTGATACCCTATAAAGACTTTGTTTAAAATCACATACCATCAATGGTGTGTGTCTCTGTTATAATTAATTTTCTAGCAGCAAGGCTTGTAAAATATATAGCTGTTAGTAAGCATCAATAATCGAGCGAACATGTGCTGATAAATGGACTTTTTTCTTTTATTGAATGGAACATGCGTTTATATGCTTATTTGTTTTTCTTCTTGCTTTTGTTGTTTTATTGTTAGCTATGTGCATATTATTCAGGTGTTGAAAACATTAAACCAATCAAACTTTAAGGTACTAAGAGACACAAGTGAGCCTGATATTTCTCTGTTGTCTTACAAAACAAAATGGCTGACCATTTCACCAAGCAGGTTTAAAAAGAATTGTAAGAACACAAGCTACTGAGAAAAAAAAATTGTTGTATTAAAAATTGTTGTATTTGCCTATTTTACTAAAGCCCTATACAAAATCTCTCTCCAAATATGAAGGCACAATTATATGCACAGTTAATTGCTTATAATTAAAATCGTTTTAGATCTATAAAATATATTTTAATTAAGAAGAATTAATTTGTTCTATACAAAATTACACGTTTTTCACATGAATTCTAATTATAATTCAGATTTTGGATGGTGGGTAATTAAATTGGATGGTTTAATGTTGGTAATTAAATCAGGGAGGCTTAATATGTAAACAATATACTGAGGTATTTTTATCAAAAGCTAAAGATACAAAATTAACATTTCAAATAATTTGCGGGTCATGGCACTGAGTATTTGAAATGCCACAAAATAATGTGCAATATATGTGATAACATTTGAGTAACAAATGTTTTAGGCACTATATCATGTCAGATGCTTTAGTCACTATATCATGCCAGATGTTTTAGGCACTATATCATGTCAGATGTTTTAGTCACTATATCATGCCAGATGTTTTAGGCACTATATCATGTCAGATGCTTTAGTCACTATATCATGCCAGATGTTTTAGGCACTATATCATGTTAGATGCTTTAGTCACTATATCATGCCAGCTGTTTTAGGCACTATAGCATGCCAGATGTTTTAGGTACTATATCATGCCAGATAATTTAGGTACTGCTTGCCAGATGTTTTAGGCACTATAGTATGATAAATGTTTTAGGAATTATAGCATTGCAGATGTTTTAGGCACTATAGTATGATAAATGTTTAGGAATTATAGCATTGCAGATGTTTTAGGCACTATAGTATGATAAATGTTTTAGTAATTATAGCGTTGCAGATGTTGTAGGTAATATAGCATGCCATACGTTTTAGGTACTATAACATGTCAGAGGTTTTAAACACTATAGCATGTTTTAGGCACTATAGTATGCCAGATGTTTTAGGCAATATAGCATGCCAGATGTTTTAGTCACTATATCATGCCAGATGTTTTAGGCAATATAGCATGCCAGATGTTTTAGTCACTATATCATGCCAGATGTTTTAGGCAATATATCATGCCAGATGTTTTAGGCAATATATCATGCCAGATGTTTTAGGCACTATAGTATGCCAGATGTTTTAGGCAATATATCATGCCAGATGTTTTAGGCAATATATCATGCCAGATGTTTTAGGCAATATATCATGCCAGATGTTTTAGGCAATATAGCATTCAATGCTAGAAACTGTCACAATCTTCTTGCCATTTATAAAAAAGCTGCATCAAACTATTGAAGAATTTCAAATGTGGTGAATTTTTTTAATAAAAGATTTCTGCAAAATAAATGTATACGTTTTGATGTGAAATTTAAAAGAAATATAATGTTGCTGAAGCAAAATCAGTATGATAGAAAAGATCACAACTATTTATAAACAGACATATGTAATCACATTAATAAATTCTGATCCTTAATTACAGCCATGCAAATAGTTTATGCTAACCAGCAATCGTACATTGTCTCTAGCATTAATATATCTAATCAAATGTTTTCTCAGTTCTCTTCATCTAATCAACACCCGCATCAAAGAGATGCACAACAACATTTCTGCTTAAATGTGTTTTGAAAATGCAGTAGGAATTAATTTTAGTCTCAGCCCAGGAAACATAAATGTCGTTGTGACTAAAACTTAACTAATATTAACTATGATGACAAGAAATTGACAGCTAATGTCATTTATGACTGAATGTCAGGCCAGATAATGCATGTAATGACGGTCTTAAAAATGAATAATTATGACTTTATATGACTGTCCTGAGCATGAAGTAGAAGTTGTCTGCAGACAGTTCTGTCACAGAAACTTTGGTATGCTGATCAAATATCTGTATGCTTTTTATAATTGCTCTTTATTTTGTTTCAACTAAACCTTTCACTTTTTGTCATCATCTACCTTTAATTCACTTGCTTCCATCGTCGAATGTAACTAATTTATCAATTTATCAGGCTTGGCGATCTACTAAATTTTTAAATGGTATCTAAATTTTCAAGTACGTCACTGTATGGCCAGTGCCTATCGTACGTTGCTTATTGCGGTAATTATCACATTTCTATTTAATTCTTTATATTCAGTTATAAATTACAATTCGTAGAATATATTATTGTGCTAACTTTTACAATGTTCGACTGAAATGTATGCTTTTTGCATTCTATAACCTTTCTTATTTTTCTTTTATACATGTTTTTCATTTTTGCTTGGGGGAAGAAATCTGTGAGATTCCAAATCTATGATTTTCCCTAATCAATATTATGGGTTACTTCCCTTGTTTTTCATTAGCGATAGAAGCACGTTAACGGAGAAAATAAATGAATGCATGACATGAATTTAGATCTATTTCCAACTGCACTGCAATTTTACTAATAATGAATCTAATTGAATAACGATATAGGTCTTTTAACTAAGCGTGATAAAAATCTGATCAGAAATAATCTATAAAGTGTTGAGACGCTCAGCAAATTAGATGCAAGAATACTTCATCAGTACGAGTTGATCTTGCTCACAAGATTTCAGTCT